TCCTTCCTTCCTTCCTTCCTTCCTTCCTTCCTTCCTTCCTTCCATCGATCCATTTTGGAAAGTATTGAAATCTGACTATCGTTATGGTTTCAACTACTGTACTTAATAACTCATATTTGTTTTTATTTTTTTTTATTTAATTGATACATAAAATGAATATACATATTATCAGGAGTTTTGGCCAGGGTTAATTTACTGCCCTTGTGCCACTCTCGCTGTTTCCAAATTTTTGTTTTGTAAGGTTGAGAGTCTTCTTTTTTAGGTCTTCTGTTCCTTTTAGTCATATACATCCTACCTGTTACTAGGTAATCATTCTGGTACTTTCCCTCCCTGAAATGAGCCTATTCAAGTGTCAAGGGAGGGGAAAGCTAAATAGTGGGTAGAAAATAAATTGAGTGAACATAAAGTCAGGTATACCATGCATGAAGTGAAGTAAGAGCTTAATGTGATACTTCATCATCCACATTTCTGGTACAGTTTGTATTTTCCTTAGTGCTACCATGACTGAGGTCTTTTACTAAGCAGATTCTTTGTTACGGAGTGATTTTTTTCCCATCTCAGATGAACTATTTACTCTGAAACACTGACTCTAAAGTTTTGAAAATAACCATGTTTAGATAATATGTTACCTATTTTTGCAGTTTGTAGCCTTTAGAATAAAGTATGAGTAACCCTCGATATAGCTGGGTTTATTAGTGAGATGCTGGTTTCTCAAATAGTTCTCCTTTGCAAGTTAATGATTTTTCATTGCTTGGCAGTTATTTTAAATGTCTGCCTCTTGATTACAATATAGCTTTCTAAGTAATTTAATCCTGTTTTAATCATGAAGACATCTTTTTATGTAGTCATATCATAGTTGGGAGAATAAAAGTAAAGTCCTGGCGTGGTGGCACACGCCTGTTTCCCAGCACTCCTGTGGCATCAGGATAGTGGGTTTGAGACCAGCATAGCTATGATAAGAAAGCCCTGTCTCAAAAAAGAAAGACAGAGCAAAATCAAAAGTAAATGATGGGAGAATTCACTTTCGAATTCTCCGTATTCACGAGTAGCTTTCTGCCATCTCCTTTCCTTCTTACCCATCTTCAAATACATTGTCTTCTCTTATTTAAAAAACGAAGTAAATGATGACTTAAGAATTATAGGTGGGTGAGATGTTGGTCATCTTATGTAGGGCAGTAATTTCAAATCTCTGTAGCAACCAGAGCAAAATTTAGTAGGATTAAATAATACTGCTAATAGCTAGCATACTGAATACTTACGTGTGGCAGGCGCTCTGCGATCCTGGAGCTATATATTATTACCCTGGTATTAGAGAGGAAGAAACTAAAGCTTCCAGAATCGAGTTACTTCTGCTGAGTAACACAAGTATTTAGTGGTGGATAAGTGATTCGCGCTCCCTTCTGACCACCTGCAAAGGCCATATACAGTTCCTTCTTTTTAAGCCCACGTTCTTAACCGCTGCACTAACTAAATTCACAGCTGAAGCAGAGAAAA